AAGTCATCAGCGCCGGCTAATAATACATCACGACGGCATGGCAAGGCTTGTCGTGAGACGTGCTTGTGTTTGCACGTGTTAATCTGTGGGGCCGTGTGTGTGTGTGCGGAGAGGGCTGAAGCGTGTCTTAAGGTTGTGGTTTTTCCGACGTGTTTTATTGTTTTATTAACTGCCAGGAACATTTTGATTTGTCGTTCACATTAAAACACCTTCCACGTTGAATAAGAACCGATTGCGCTGTATTTGCTGTGTGATCAGAGCTTGAGAGGAAGGCAACAATGTGAGTTCGCTTCGTTAATTTTTTGTTGCGAGTCTTAGTAAAGGTACGATGGGGTGTATTTTTAACATCCTTTCCTTAATTATATTACAGGAGCACAGAATGCAAAATGAGTTAGGCAGAAGAACCATATGTTCCAGATGTCTAATTCCATTCTCTGAAATTGTGATTTAATTTAAGAACAATAATCCATGGTGACCTAGAGAATGTACAGTTGTGATCAGTGTCTTTGGGGGGGGGTTGTGGCAGTGAATGGCCCTTCTAAATAAGCGGTTGTTGTGTGTTCTCCAGGCCCTCTGCTTTCTTCCCACTTGCAAAATGTACGGTAATAGCAATGACAGTCATTGCCTTATACCCAGGACACCCTTGCAAATGACATTTTCATCTCAAGGAAATGTCCAGGTAAACTATATGAAGACGTCAGTGAACTTAAAATAGCCTTAATTTACAGAGCATCTAAATGGGGAGTCGTGGTGCAGTGGTTAGCACGCTACATGATGGAACCAGTGATCTGGGTTCGAATCCGGGCCATGGCTAACATGAGTGGTGAGTAATATCTGATCCTGCGCAGGGTCCGCCACCCTTCATCAACCTGCAATGACCATTCTGTGTTGTATGGTCCGCAAACCCCATGACTGAAATTGCATGAAGAGACCTTATCCAGGGGTGATATTGACAAATGGCTGTAGATTTGTAAAGCAACTATAGCCGTGGCCGATTGTATTGGAGGCATTTATTGCTGAGGATAGTCTTGGGCAAGGGGATTGAGTCGGCAATCTTGGCATGGACACATCGCACCCACAGTGTGCGTCGTGTCCAGCCACTGGCGTCTGTAACAGTCTGGACGCTTATCGGCTTCTCCCAACGAGCGAATCGTGGTGAGTCTGAGTTGGTGTGGAGCGTGGTGAGTGTGAGTTGGTGTGGAGCGTGGTGAGGGTGAGTTGGTGTAGAGCGTGGTGAGTGTGAGTTGATGTGGAGCGTCGTGAGTGTGAGTTGGTGTGGAGCGTGGTGAGGGTGAGTTGGTGTGGAGCGTGGTGAGTGTGAGTTGGTGTGGAGCGTGGTGAGTGTGAGTTGGTGTGGAGCGTGGTGAGTGTGAGTTGGTGTGGAGCGTGGTGAGTGTGAGTTGATGTGGAGCGTGGTGAGTGTGAGTTGGTGTGGAGCGTGGTGAGTGTGAGTTGTTGTGGAGCGTGGTGAGTGTGAGTTGATGTGGAGCGTGGTGAGTGTGAGTTGTTGTGGAGCGTGGTGAGTGTGAGTTGGTGTGGAGCGTGGTGAGTGTGAGTTGTTGTGGAGCGTGGTGAGTGTGAGTTGATGTGGAGCGTGGTGAGTGTGAGTTGTTGTGGAGCGTGGTGAGTCTGAGTTGATGTGGAGCGTGGTGAGTGTGAGTTGATGTGGAGCGTGGTGAGTGTGAGTTGGTGTGGAGTGTGGTGAGTGTGAGTTGTTGTGGAGCGTGGTGAGTGTGAGTTGGTGTGGAGCGTGGTGAGTGTGAGTTGGTGTGGAGCGTGGTGAGTGTGAGTTGGTGTGGAGCGTGGTGAGTGTGAGTTGGTGTGGAGCGTGGTGAGTGTGAGTTGGTGTGAAGCGTGGTGAGTGTGAGTTGATATGAGGCGAGCTTGATGAAGGTCGCTGTGCACGCAGCGACAGAGCGGAGAGTGTTCGGGCCCTCTGCGAGTGCGAGGAGGGGTGCGACTTCGCACGGCCACCAAGGTTGGCTGGGATCTGGTGTAACCTCTCCAGCGCGGAACGCGGCGGTGACTCACCCAGGGGAGCGTGAGAGAGTTTACGAAGTCGGCCTCGGAGGTGGTTTTCTCTGGCCTGTGATGTGGCCTGCGATGTGGTCTCTGATGTGGTGGTGTGGCTGTTGAGGACAAAACAATAAAATGTGACGCCGCTGCGGTTCAATCGGCGTAAATTAAACGGCGTCTCTCTGATGCCTTGCTACAAAAGAAGTGTCCGCATTTTTGTGATGTTCCAGATCGGGGAATATCTAGCTTCCATTGTCACAGTGTCAAGTTACTCATACACCTTGGAATGTGTGGGTGACTGAGTTGGAATCTTTTTGATAAGTTCAGAAATAGAGAAAAGAGTGATTTTACAGCATTGAGGCGGTGCTCCTCTCCTGTTCACAGCCCCGAGCCAGTGGGGGAAATTCCACTTTCCTATGGCAGGGGCGAGTTCACCTGTAGACAACCACCGTCAATAATATGTTCAATTTTTTAAGGCATTTTACAATGTTTTTTTTTTATTCTTGTCGCACGGTTAGACAAACAGCTTGTTATAATTATTAAAGTGGTTGTGGAAGTGAGGCTACTTAACAAAAAAAAAGTTACACGTCATCTTCCACTGTGTTTAATGGCCATGCCCTTGACTTGTTTCCACTTAGTTTAGCTTGAAGAGATGCACGTTGGGCCGTCCCTCCCCGAGCATGGCAGGGCTGGCGAGGAGGAAATGTTTAAGATGGTGCGCAGCGAACGCCGAGCGCTGGGCTGTCTGGAGTCTAACCGCAGCGCGCCTCCCAGTACCCCACTCGCCCCCTTCGCCTGCCATGATTTCCTCCGCGAGTCGCTGTTGGGAGCTCTCGGGCAAGGCGCCGGGGCCCCTCAAATCCCCACCGCATTAGCTGCCCATCTGTCACGGCGGTGCCGCGAGGGTTAGCGGTTCAACGAGACTCCCCCGTCCCTTCACCCTTGCTAACCCGTCATTCCAACCCCCCCGCCCCCGTTCGTACGCTCGTACTACGCTCTTACATACGTACATACACGCGCGTAACCTCGCGCGCGGGGCGTACCGGCGCACGTACAAATGCACAGGCGCTCCCGCACGCGGCACAAGAGCATAGTTCTGCTTGCTCGCAAGTGGCACGTACTCTTGGCAAGCACAATGCAAGCATGTGCTCGCTTGTGAGCGTTCGACTTGTGTATCGCTCGCCCGCACGTGCTAGCCTGCCCTCGCGCTTAATCCACAACTACACCGCGGGCTTATTGACACGCGCGATGCCCGTATGAATTTACCACAAAACCTGGTCATGTGTGGTCATCCAAGAGCCATCCCCTGCATCAGTAAACCACTGTTATTTTTATTGTTTTTTTTATCAAAACAAGAACCTGTTTAAGGCAAACAAGTCTTTATTGTGAATATTTTGCACAAACTGTCCTGCCTAGAAACTCAACTGCCTCGACTCACTGTCTCAATTAAGTTGATCCACCTCTCGTGACACGTTGACACGTCAGTTTGGAGATTGCTTCAGCTGGCCACAAGTCCTCCTGTTTGGGCGCCGTCTGTTTTTGGTTTCGTCGCAGTGGACAATCCCAAGGTGGCCACGTTGAAGTCTCCAGAGAAGCGATCTGGGTGAACCGTGGTAATTCTTCCGTGGACACCATGTTGGGCAAGGCTTTAGTGGGAGGGCTTCACGATGTATGACTTAAGGACGGCAGTGAAGGATAGTACAACGATAACAATGCAGACTTTTCTATCTATTTGTGCGCATACTATAACATGGAGTGAAGTTCCACAGCAATCATTGGCCGTGATCTATCCACTGCTGGATCAGAGCGTCTCCACAGTTGTCGCCGCAGCTCACGGTTTTGTGCTGCCACAAGGCGTCTGGCCACGAGAGCGGATCACGTCGCTCCATCTCCACGGTGGCCGTACTCACAGTCTCGTCCATTGGGCATCGTCGCTGCCAGCGATTTGTGCTGCCCAAGCCCACTGACTTTTTGGGAGAATATCCGTAAAGTCTCTCACATTGTTTACCCCTTGGTGATACTGCTACAGGGAATATGTGGTACGCAATTGATTGGTATATTTTTGATGGATGCACGTTACGAGTGACATTAGTTTAAGATGTGGCTTTAACTTTATGCTAAACTAAAACTGTTACCTTTACATAAAAATGCCGCTGCTGAGCACAATCAGAAGTAGAGAGTTCCCGCCCCAGATATTTTCCCAGCGTGGTTTTGACTGCCGAGCCGCAGCGCACAGAGCCTGCACGGCCATCGTCAGGGCTTCGTCAGGTCCGCAGTCTGTGTGCACGGATGATAACAGTGGTGAGTTATCGAACTGATTGTGTAACATTACTGTGGTATCGTCTGATTGTGAGTTTCTCATAGGTGTGTTGACAAAATGGCTCCACTCTAAACAGCTTGCTGATTAGAACTTGAAAAGACCATGGTGCGACTTGGCTCTTTGTGAATCTGAACGAGCAGCCGGTTGTGAGTTTGCAGCGCCACGAGAGCCGTGGGCATCGTGAGGACTGCTCGTTAAGTGTGTCGCTTGCCTCTTCCCTCTGTCTTCACATCGCACGCATGCGCACACATACGCTATTCAAATACGTTCATGTACATGCACGCACCACACAAACAACAAACCAACACACTCACGCACACACGAGTACCAAATAAACACGTCACTGCGCTCACATACAAATGAACACCATGCCAACACACGAATGGTCACACAATCACCATACCATTATGTCCACGCACACGTACATACACACATATATATCATGCCAACACATTCATGCACACACACACTCGCACATCCTGAACACTAATGTGTAAACACACGCGCACATATCATTCCCATTATGTTCATGCGCACACACAATCTCCATACTTACACACATACACGGACACCAAACCATTTTGTACACACACACACACACATCCTGAATGTACACAAACAAACGCACGCACGCGCCCACGCACGCGCCACGACGACGACGCAGGTGCATGGAGATGCAGGAGTTGGGAAGCCCGACAGGTGCAGTGACGGGACAGCGAGACTCGCCCGACCGCTCTTCGCTTGACGGCGCGGGGGTCTACCTGGCCGCCTCCACACACGACACCAACGGCGGTGAGTGCGCGCGCGTGTGCGTGCGTGCGCTCCGTGTGTACGTGTGTACGTGTGTACGTGTGAGTGCGCCGTGCGTGCGTCGAGGGGAGCATCGGCTTGGCGGTTAGCGCCCTGCACTGTGAACCTGGTGAATCGAGTTCCATACCGGCTCATGGCCAATACCGGTGACGATGATCTCAAGCGGTCCTGGGCCCTCCCTCCTCAGATGAATCAGCCTTAAATGGGAACCTGGTGCGGTGTGTGAACATCGGCACTTTTGAGACAAAGGCGGTGAGGCGTGATGCTGGCCACCCCACTCTCTCATGCGCCACGATGGCCTTCATGGGTGCATTTCGCTAGCAGCACCTTCCCCACCAGCCTGCTGATGTCTAGACGGGGGATCTTTGTCGTTGTTCACAGTAGGAGCAGGGAAAGTGAGCGAAGGCTCGTTGGGGTCTCAGCCCGTGGCTGACGGAGCGAACCGCGGAGCGTGTATGTCGACAGCGAAGCAACGCACGCAGGTTGACTGCCGCTTCAGCGCTCCGACGTGCTTTCGGGTTTGTACCGTGACGTGTGTTGTCCTTCGAAGAAGCTGAAGCTCATGGAATGAACGGAACTGACAAATGCAACATAAGAGACAGTTTAAACGAGTCGGTTAAAAATTAAATGAGAAAAATATCTCGTTTAATTTCCTTGTAAGCCCGACAAGTCTTCAAATTTATCTGGGAATGAATAATTCTATTCTTTTTTTATGATCACGGTAATTGATTATCGTACATTAAAAAGCACAACTTATCATGAACATTATGGTATTTATGTCACACTGTGTACTGCTCAAGACGCTGGTGAATCCAGGCGCAGGAGGTGTCAATGTTGTAGCTGTGCTGCGTGACCACAGCACACCAGTGATAAAGAATTATCTCACTGCTGCAAAGACCCCATTGATTGAGCTCCGTGTGCCTCTCTCGCCCAGCGTCTGTGTGTGGGGAGCGGTAGTGTAGTGGTTAGCGCGCTGCGCTACGAACCTAGAGACCCGGGTTCGATTCCCGCTCACGGCCAACACCAGTGACGATTATATATCTGAACCGGTCCTGGGCCTCCCCTAGGTCGACTTAGCCTCAAATGAGTACCTGCTACGATGTGTAAACATCACCACGAGCGAGACAAAGGCGACCGGGCGTGGTGTTGGCCACCCACCCCCTCGTGTGCTGTGCCGGCCTTAATAGGTGCTCACTAACAGCACTTGCCCCAACAGTTTGTTAAGGCTATACAGGGGATCTTTGTCTTTGTGGCCCATCTCAATAGTGACTTGAGAACCATCAAGTATTACTCACCATTACCTACGTTTATGAGTTCAGGATTACATATTTCTCCCGCATGTTCATGCTTCACTTTGCAGGAATGTGTTTTAGTATTTTCAACAAAGCTTCCTGTACAAACTCTAACCAACAGGGCAAGGTGAATTCATAATATACGCTTCGTTATGTTGAGTTGCGTTGGTCTCGTATTGATAGATACAAATGGATGTGTGCAAATTGTACCAAGAGCATGTCGTACAAAACAGAGTACATATTCTTGGGTCTTTCGGTAAAGTCACGTAGATAGGTTCAAAGAAAATAACAAAAAAGAACGACGTTTCGATCGCAACACAAGCGGTCGCCAAAGTGGTCGCCTATCTACGTGACTTTACCAAAAGACCCAAGAATATGAATTCCTGCAGTCATGAAAGCTTTAAGTCAAGATTTAAAAGAGAGTACGTTTAGAACCTTTTCCACCAGTCTTTTTTTCCACCTCCCGGGTAATGTATGTCTGGTGTTTGTGGAGATACTGAATTGAATAGTAAACCTTCGGTGCTCTCGCACAGCCTCTCATATGCACAGTGAATTCACGAATGGCACTGCCGGGTGATTGCGTCGTGCGAGAGATTTTCCCCCCTGTGGTTGTGGTTTGTGGTTTCCCGCATTCACTCTGCACAGATCGTTTACTTCGTGGGCTTCTTCGTAGAGTCACATCTCCGCATCTCCACGGGCATGCCACTCACTTCACTTTGGCTTGGTTGGCTGCCACCACCGCCTCCACCACCTCCATGTCACCACCAACTCCACCACCTCCACCACATCACCACCACACCACCACCACATCACCTCCACCACCCCATCACAACCACATCACCACCACATCACCTCCACAACACCACCACCACATCACAACCACATCACCTCCACATCGCCTCCACCACACCTCCACCACCCCCACATCACCACCGCATCACCACCACCAACACCGCCACATCGCACAGACACTTAGCATTCCCCATGGGCGCTGAACCTCGTTCCTGGAAACAAACATTGGTTCTTGTTCTCCTGCCGGCAGTGTATTTTGGAACCGTGTTACGTAAGCCTCTGCTGTTGTGATGTTTGGTTGCGATATCCGCGCTCCGTAATTATTTTAGGGATTTCAGCTTTCTATCGATCACTTTCGTCCACCAAGATGCGTAAAGATTTTCTTGTGGGATGAAACTCAATAGGTCAGGACCAGCCACCTGATATGCCTCCATTTTTAAATAAATAATGCCCCTTAAAGATTCCGGGAAAACAGCACAGGGACTGCTAGTTAATGCCTTATTAATTAGACGGAAAGTTGGGAATGGCTGCTTGCCTGAACGCCGCACTGATCCCATTAATAAATCACATTTTACGGGAAGCCACCCTCATCAAATTTCAGCAGAGAATCGTTCAAACTACTTTTTAATTAAGCCTCAAAATCGCCAATGCAGCAAAGCAGCGGATAGTGCATCCACCGCTGCTGCATTGTGGGTATCCACAGCTTTCCAAAATACGTGACAAAAGATGTTGGCACACATTGGCGCTACGTGTTCTACAACCAGCACTGTGTGCGTTATACACTAAACTAACATTCACCTGCATGTCATCCTTGCGGTACATTTGTGCATCAAGAACGTTTTGCTCCGTGATATAAGAGTAATTCTGCCTGTAGGTTTAACCTCCTGCAGCAGAATCCGCGACCTCATAGCCAGGTCGAGGTGTAAGGCCCTGTGCTGCGTTGTGGGGGTGCACCACGTGCCGCTGCACGTGCTGGGAGCCTCTTCGGACGCTGAGCGCCGCGCAGACGAGAAATTCAGCTCCTGAAGACGCTCCCAGCGAAACGTCGGACATCGTGCCGAACAGCAACATGCGGCACGACCCCCGGAAACGCGGTCTAGAGATACGCGGCAGTTTGGCCGCGAGGACCGGCGCACTGCGGCGTGAGGTCCGAGCACGTGAGCGCCGGCCTCTGCGCTCTGTTGGTTCGTGTTGATCTGGTTTCACTGGGCCCAGCGACTCGAGGTCATGTTGGTCGTAATCAAGGTCGTGTATTTGGGTGACTCATTGTCAGGCCGTTCTTATGCCCCATACACTGTGTGGGCAGTTGTGAATGTTAATTTTGCAGATGTTTGAATGTAAATAACAGCAGTGTTTATTGTACTGAATGATTTGTTTAATTTATTTTTGTAACCACGGGTACTGTATAATGGCCAAAACAAAATCGAATGTTGTAAAAACCCTATCCTACAGCCACAGGATTTATCCAGATTATCGTTGTAAAATAGCACACGTCTGTTGTACGGCTTTATCTTTGGAGCAGCACGCCATGCGTGTGGGTGGCCTTCCTTAAACGGAGTAGCCAGGCCACGCATCTTTCACGAGGTGTCACTGAGGCAGGTGTTATTTATACATATACACCACATGTACTACTTTGCATTGTGTGGGTGTGTGTGTATTTTACTCTATTTATTTTCTGCAAACATCAATAGAACGAACAAAAGTGCCTGATAAATCGTCTTTGTCTGTGGCATTCGTATATATTCTGTGTACAGGTAACAGCCCTTTGTCTATCTACCGCTGTCTTCTGTGCAACCATTGTAAGAGAATGTTTCGTGCTGCTGCGAAGTCTGTTTGTGTGCCCACATGCACACGTGCATACACACTCCTTCATCTATAGAATTGACGTCAATGTGCCAGTCTGGCATACATTGCAATGTCGATTTCATTGTAAACTTATTTCGAGGAAAAACCTTCATGGATTCCAACAACAAGAGCCACACGTGGGCTTAGTGTTTGTCCAGTTATACTTTTTTAATATTAATATTTATACTTGGAACAGTTGCGATGTTTTACTTAACACAAAGTAATCATTCAATATTAACCAAATAAATAATGTCTGCTTCCCATATTTGTTTTTCTGCATAGAAAATAACGGTACAAAATGGGACCTTTTTGCCAGTATCAAAGTATGAAAAAAAAGAATATGTTTTACCCTTTTTGGCAATAAAACAGGTGTTAAGATGTTCAAACACCAAATAGAAACCTTTTACACACAAGTACGTGTGGATCATGCAGACTTGATTCCTTGAAAATGGTTTCTATTTACTGTTTGCACATCTTAAGACCTGTTTTATTACCAGGAAGGATACATCCTATTCTTATTTTTCTCATACAAAAATAAAGGTGTTTTTACCCAGCTCATCATCCTCTATGCATTTTCTGGGATAAAATGATCCAATGTAGGCGGCCACAGCTCCAGTAGCACGGCAGCGATATCCCTCCAGCGTCGTCCCAGAGTTATAGGGCGCCGGCGTCGTCGTCGTCGCCATCCTGCTACTTCCCATCCTCCTCCGCCACCGCCGCGTCCGTCCACTGGCCGTGAGCGGCGAGCGTGCCGTGAGCGGCCAGCGTGCCGTGAGCGGCGACCGTGCCGTGAGTGGCGAGCGTGCCGTGTTGGTCTTAGTCGGAGCGATCGCCGGGCGGCACACGTCACGTGCCGTGAGCACCTGCTGCCCCGGGGCCACTCGCAGGGCTGGCCGCTTCACGCACGCACGGCGCTTCTGGGAGCTTCGTGCGCGCTGTTCAAGGTCGCGCGGTCGCCGGGAAGGCCCGGGTGGCTCGCCATGCCGCTGACGAGGCGGAACCGGCCTCTGCCGTCCGCGTAGAGAAGGTTCACAGCCCCCGTCGCCTGCATTG